TCAGCACTCCAGGACACCTCTCTTTCTTCTTTAACAACCGAGTGATGTAAGGTCATCTCGGCGTAGTTGCGCGAGTACTGTGCAAGTACGCCGCTAAGCCAAGGAAATTTCGGAGTCCTTGACGTCGACTGGCACAGGCCAGTCGCTAATCGCCTTGATCTTTCTGGGATCAGGGCGTACGCCGTTTTTACCCACGATGCATCCAAGAAGTGGTATTTCGTTCGTTGCGAAGATGCACTTCTTGAGGTTCGCGAGCAACTTTTGCTCTTGCATAAGTATAAGAACCTTCCAGACGTGGATCCTATGAACCTCCACGTCCGTCTCTCCATCCATAGCCTAGATATGGACGAAGACATCTTTAAAGTAACTCGGTGCAAAATCTCGGATCGATTGCAACAGATTCATAACCCACCTGATGAACGTTGCAGGGGCGTTACTTAGCTCCTTTGGCATCACTAGCCACTTCCAAAGCAAAACGCTGAAGGTGCTCACTGTTGTGTACGAGATGTCCCGCTCGCGCATTTGGATCTGATAGAATCCATCGATCAGATCCATGGACGAAAAGATGGCACTTTTGCCGTACCATCAATGATTACGTCCTTACTCGGTATCAACGTCCGACTCGGTACCATTGCAGCATACAATTTGTTGAACGCGTGCACTATCCACCACCTTCTTGTGGCCTTTCGCACACAGAAGGTCGGAGAGCTGTGTGGGGATGTTGGTTCCCTCACATGACCAGCCGCTAAGCGATCGCCAAACAATTTGACGATCGCTATGACCTGCTCACGAGGCAGTGGCCACTGCTTCATGACAGAGTACTTCGAGTTGGGTTTCAGTTCGATCTCATGCCGAGTTCCTTCATCCTTAGGCAACTCGCATGGCACGGATTCAGGGAAAACATTCCTGAATATAACCAAATCCTTATACGAAGGATTTGTCTTCATAGACTCTCAAGATTAAGACGTGTATCGCTCAATCCGGGTCTTCTCATTGAGGACACTCTCATCCATTGATGAGCTACTGAGGACCCTTTTTTTCTTAGTAAATACTTAGGCCGAATGAATATCGGCGACTTACTCGTCCTCTGTGGCGAGTACGCAGATCTGCTTGATCGTTTCACTACACAGATCTCGCAAGAGTCTTTAGATTCTATTGTTGGCAACTTGATTACCTCCGAAGCTGACTTCGGAGCTGTAACGAAGTCAAGTGTAAAAGCCCCTACAATTGATCCTTCATTAACCAATACATTCACTGTCTCGGTGCTTTCCTGGGAAACACATCCGCAGGTGGTTGGGGAAACACACCCTCAACTTAACTATCTCGGGAGTTATCACTCTCAGGAATGCTGGAACTTTCTTCTAATACGTGTTCTGACTATGGGTGTACTACCAAAGTAACATCCTATTCGATAGACTCTCTTTCAGTCGATCGTGTTTGCGTTGCGATCGACTCTGATAGTCGATCTTGCTGTAACGCGTTGTTCATCCTCGACAATCTCTCTTCTTGGATGCACCCTTCTTCGTGTGCATCCGTGTTCCAGTCCACTAAATCTTTTCGAGCGATGAACCTTCGGCGCAGCCTGTGTCTCTACACAGGTGCCGGAAGCTGGTTCCACAGTGTAGTGGCCTTCTATACTGTGACCTTGTGCAGTCATACTAACGACCGTACCACAAGTAAGGCCATCGCACTCACACGTAATACATCCACACGCTTGTGGACGCTCCAAGACGTTCATCGGATGGCCATCTGATGATCAAACGGCAGGCATCTTCACGGATCGATGCTGCCAGCTGATCCATGGCTGGTATTTTTTAAGCAATGGCAGACCGAGGATGACACCAAATTTGTCATTCAGATCCCGTACCGATGAAGTCATCATCGTACTGCTTTCCCTCTAGAGTGTAGTGGATTCCCACTACACGTTTGTTCACTGTTACAGATGCGCCTATTTTGAAAGATACATCGTCATCCTCGTTGGAGGGAACTCTCGCTCAACATATTTGAGCCTACTACCTTATAGCGACTGTCGTTGAATAAAGCTGTTTGACGCCCCACAGTCAACTAGGGTGCGAAGTGACATTCTACTCGTCACTTCGATCTTCAAAGTGATGAGGGACACCTCATCGCTAGGGGCGGCAACACACAGCGACTGTGTATTTGGGAGCAATATATGCCAAGAGTCCTGCAAATTCTCTTGACGTTGCTGGATCAGCAGGGTGCTCCGCCCCTACTGACCCTGACCGGTTTTAGGCGGTCCGAATTGCTTTCGCGGTTTAGCGACATGGTCGGAACCGCGCCTTGGACCTTTTCTAGTCCAATGGCGGTCATCATGTCCTGTCTTTGGACGTGATGAGGTGCTTAGGATACTACACTCATGAGCGTAGTGTCCGATCTTCAGACAGCGATGACATCGAGCCGATCGCTTGTGACTCAGAGAGCAAGAGTTCTATCCCTAGATATAACAGAGGTCCATTGGTTCGAGACCTCCGGTTTCCTGTCGTCTCGTCGGACGATAGTTTGATGAGTTAGCCTGAGACTGTCTCAGGCTGAAGTCCTCTTGTTCCGCATACGCTATCGCCTTTTCCATCGTATGGAAGTCCTCTCAAAACATGTAGGTCATTACCGGTCCATCTACAAGACCGTAGATGAACACGTTGATGAGCGTGCTCTCATTAACAGGGTATTCCGTGACGCTGCTCACAAGGTAGAGCAGGTGTTGTGCATAAGCGTGCACATCACGCTTGCCTTGCTTGGGCCTCAGGTGTGCAGAGCGTGCTCTGAACTTGGCTCTTGGCGGTTCAAAAGTTTCTTTGAGCCGAGACTTCAAGGTCTTTAGCGACTCAAACACGTTTGGGTCGTGAAGCTTGAGTCCTAAGGCCCAAGTCTTTGCTCGTCCTGTCAAATTTTACAGGGCGAAGGTGACTTGCATCTCGTCACCGTCGATGTGACAGGCCCTGTTGGCGTCGTCTAACTCGACGAACCATCTCAAAAGGAAATCTTCATCGGTTCCCTTGTACCTTGAGATATCTTTCTTCAAGGTTTCGGGTCGGCGTATGTGCGTCGGCCCGCCCATCTACTGATAAGAGCCTTGCTGTTGTAGTAAGGCTATCTTCTGTCTTTCGACGGCAAGTTCCCCTTGTAGGAACTTGTTGATAGCGGCATGTTACTGGTCTATGCTTAGAGACTCCAACATGCCACTGATGGCGGGTTCGCCCATGAGCACACTCATGCGGCCGACTACCTCCCATTCTGAGTCACTCGGATGGGAGTAGCCTTCACGTGTGACGTGAAAGCTGTCGTCTTCTACGTTCAACATGTTCATGTTGGACGGATACTTAGTAGTCGTCGGACGGACTACAAAGTGCTACCAGGTGTAACAGGGCACCCTTTGTTTGGGGTGCCGCGAAACTTTACGTACACTAGTACGTGCAGAGAAAGCTAATCTACTCAAACAGATCGTTTGAGAAAAGGGTAAAAAGAGAACCGTATTTAATATAGTCAAGCTATCGATATAACTTCAGCCTTTACCTAACTATGTAAATCTACATTGTCGTACGACGACAACCTGCTCACCACTCATTTACGCATGTCTAGCAGCGATTGGTGGTTGGTTATTATGTCTTTATCAACCAATCTTGGAGCAGCGCATGAATGTTATCCTAAGGGATACTATTCTTTCACTATTTACCTATCTCGGGTAATATTGGCAGGGAATTGTCACGTTAGTCAATCTCTATATTGACACCATTTGTGTCAACATTACTTAACGGGCTACCCCGTTACAGTAGGCGCAACATCTATAGATTTGGGTCCAGCACCAGCCGGACGACTTATTACATCGGCGACGTACGACCGACTTGTCGATTCTGCACAAATCCATATGAAGGATGCAGCGAGTACTCGGGACTGATGACCACGTCATGTTGCATATTTTTATTTGGTCATATTATCGCCTATTATGTTTAATATGTATCAGTGTGTGTGTGTGTGACTTCAAGCTACCACAGCATCAGCTATGACCATGTGGTGGAAGAAACGAAACGACAAAGACGACAGATAACGAAGGAGCAAATATTTCTGTGAGCGATGAAATGACTGTGACTACCACGCACTGATGCACTCCCCGCCATCTTGTCTGCTACGTTTATCCACACATGGTAAAACTCGACTACAATCGACAACAGCGTCGTCCTTCCGTCACAAACAGCATCCGATACCATCTGACATCTAGCAAAATTCTTCAGGTGGGTATCGCAACGACAACGCGTTTTGAGTCCGAGACTGTCTCGCCAAGTTTGTGTCGGATACAATAAGCAGGTGAATTGTGCAGCTCCAGCCGCCATAATAGACAATAACCAATTTCCTGAGAACATGGGGTAACGAAGCAGCATATTTGATGCGCCTGTAGAAGCCATATGATGGTCATACGCCTAGTTGCGTTGAAAGGGTTCTCCACAATATCAGTCCAGTTGCACTGTGTTAGCTGAACAAGCCGTTGTTCAAAAGATTCGTTTCGAGTCTACTCGTCTGACTGTCAAATGGTCGTCGATAACATGCCAGTGAAGAGGTAGAGCTCAGTCACTGCTGGCCAAAGAGCTAGCTGTTTTGCCGTTAGACGCCTCTCTTGGCATCCAGGCATTGCGTGGTGACGTGTAGGTAAGAAGCATACAACCGAGTGTTAGCTTCCGTTTGTCCCCACAAGCATTATACCAAATTTTCGGATAGAGTCAAGACTTGCAGTTGCAGGGTGTGAGTTCGGTGCGTCAGTATGTCAGTGGTGCATACGATTGATATCGTATGCCACCCCAACGACATTTAGGGAGATTTGTTGCGCAATACTCATGTCCGCCACGACCGTGTAAAGAAATGGGATCTCGGTGGCCAACACCCAGTCATTGTCAACCTGTTTGCCACAGGGGTCAAGCACACCACTGCTACATTTCCTGTAGGCTACAAAAGCGTGGTCCAACTCAACATTCTTTCTGCTTCGCAGGATGTTAGCTGACCAGGAATGGGAAACTGTTGACTGATTGCTCCTCTCCACGCTGCTGGAAGCAGCAGACAGGAGGCACCAGAAGTTCGGATCCCGCTTCTTCGGTCAACGATGTCCCTACTACTGCTGTGTGCTTGTGCACAAGGCCGCGCCTAACATCGACACAGACAAGTGCTACAAGAAGGAACAACTCCGTGCGATCGAGAGCGATGTAAAAACAAGTCATCGCTAGTAGTGGCCGCTTCTTAAAGTCCATTCTGATCTACATACAGGATAACTCGGACGGCCGCACGCGTTTAATCACTATGACCTTTCCACGTAAACGTATCCAGTCCACTTGTGCTAACTCGGAAGCCAGTCGCTGCAGCAGCAGATGTCGGCGTCTTCGCTAGATTATTACCGCTCGCTGTGCGCTGTCACCTGTACAAAGGGGCAGTGAGTGATACGAAGGCAGTGCCGACACAACAGCGATCCATGAACGCCTGCGTATGATAGAGGAGTCAAGAGTCAAACAAGCTTTTGTGCCGCCATGGGCACAACAACGACCGCAACGGAGGATACCAGCTCAAAACCCTGCCTCGTACTATTGTACCTTCAGTACGAGAAGTGGACCGAACAAGTCGGTCGCGTCTGCCAGACGTTATCATGACACGTTAGTAGCAACGGGAACTGCAGAAGGGACGGACGGGGTGTCGAATGGTGGGACAAAACGCGGTCAGGTTCAACACGACCGGCAAAATGGCAACCCACCGACAGGTGGACTACCACTTGCCGAACGCACACTCCACCATCAATGTTTTGTGCTGCTCGCGTGCTCTGGCTGCTTGATGGCGTTACCATAAGTAGCTTTTCCATAAAAAGATCGTCCGATGTGCGACAGCAAGCAGTAGGACCAACTGTCTATTAAAAGCGCTTCCATGTACTTCACACCTCATCAAAAAATGGCAGCTTTCCACAGAACCTTGGAACGTGGTCGCACAGTCAAGTCGCTCGTCAGTGGAGCATGTTTATAGTTCGAGTGTGGCGATCCTCGTAATCAGAAGACCTGATTGCTTTCCAAAACGGCCGTGACACTCCGATTCTTTCTGACTACCACTTCGACTAGTGCACGACGCCGTGATGTGCCCATCCAACCGGATGTTCTCATATCGCTGCTGTTGTTACAGACAGACTCGCCACGCAAAGCCAGTCGCGCTGGGTCGAAATCGAACGCTCATCCATACAAACACCAAGTCAACGCCACTGGCCCGATTTCGTACTTAACCGTGTCCCCAGCCGCTCGCGACGGCTCTCTCGCCCAAAGTCGCCTCCTACCTACACATACACACACCTACCTCCACACATACGCCACCTACAATCAATCACGCATACCTACAAATAGAGAGAGAGAGTCAGGACCGGACCGGACACACCCTTTGCAAACGCCTCACCGCTCCGTGACACGCCTGCCGTCAGTCACTCCGTCCGTCCATCACCTCAAGCGCTCGCCCTGCCTTGCCATGTACAGCAGCCACCACAGCACCAGCACGACCAGCATCCCCAGCACCACCAGCAGCAGCCCCAGCAGCTCGGACTACGGCAACGTCGCGCTTCTCTATGCCAAACTCGTGGCGCAAGTCTTTTCCACACTCATGAGCGCCTTCGTGGGGACGCGCCACCTGCTGCAGGCCATGGCGCTCAAGCACCAGGAGCGCGTCCGTCGGCAGCTCGAGACGCCCGTGCTCGCCGCTGCTGCCGTCGACCACCAGCATCCACGACACGTGACGGGAGCGTCATCGACGAATGACGTGCCACTGACGAGTCGCCCCAGCTGTCCTACAGCTGCAACGACGCACTCAAACGCGTCGGAAGACTGGAGACGCACGATCCAGGCGTCGCTGCTAGCAAGGGAGCGAGAGAACGCGCTGTTTGCGCCCATTGGAGCCTTGGAAATGACCATGGACGAGAGTGACGAGGACCGGCCGCGTGTCTCGGTTGCGTCCCGGATCTTACGCGTCATGTGCATTACAGACTTCATCTTTTCTGTGACTGGAGCAATCGTGACAGCCGTGGAGCTCTGGGCTCCGCACGCCGGTCGGAGTTTCCAATTGATTTTCTGGGCTCAAGCACCGCATTGGTGCTCGCAAGTCGCGAGTTTCTGCTGGGTCGCGACCTTGGCTTTGTACATTGCCAAGCACCGGAATCGAGCGAGCTTTGATGTGGCGATTGCGCATGCTATTATTTGGATGGTCGTGGTGTTTTATTGGGTACTCGAGCTCTACTCGAGTTACTACGAGACAAAAGGGTTTGTAAATGCGGCCAAGATTATTTGGAAAGTCATTGCAGTTGGATGCTTCTTGATCATCACGTGTTGCTGGCTGAATTTTGCACGACGATGGATGCAGCAGGAACGACGCAAAGGAGCGTACGTCGTGTCCAAGCTGGCGTCGTATACACTGGCGTTCTTTGTCCTCGTTGGGCCTATTGTTATAACGGATCTCGCCCTCGGTTTGCATAGCTACGGAACCGTGATGGATGCGTGTTCGATGATTTTGGCCATGTGGCCGTTCGTGAATGCGGTCATATACCTTACAAAGCCGACGTTGTGTCTGAAGATCTTCCAGGAAAAGTCCTCGCGCGGCCCGCGCGGACAGTGTGATTCGGCTGATGGGCAGCTTGGCAGAAATGGAAGCCGACGGTTCATGAGTGCAGGAGGAAATGGAGCTCCAGGCACAGCAAATGGCACGGTGGGTGGAAATACTGGTGACTCTAGTCAGAAGCTGCTGATGTCGCCGTCGCATCACGAGCTTAAGGGTTTGGAGATTGGTGACAAGATTGGGGAAGGGGTGGCTGTGGTGTACCTGGGCAAGTGGCGTGGTGCCAATGTTGCTGTTAAGATGAAAGCAGTGCTAGCGGCGCTAGAAAGTGCGGCTGATTTGGCAGAATTTCAACATGCCTGTAATGTGGAGATTCAGGCCGAAGCAGAAGTGATGCGCGGTCTGTGCCACCCGAACATTGTGCTGTTTATGGAAGCGGGATTTTATCGCGGCTCAATCTGTATCGTTTCAGAGTATTGCGCGCGTGGCTCACTGCGTGATGTTCTCCAGCAGCAGACACCAGATGTGAAGAACCTGAATTGGCCAACGAAGCTTCGTCTTGCGCTGGGAATCTCGCATGGTATCCAGTACTTGCACAATGCCAACCCGCCTATGATCCATCGAGACTTGAAATCTCCGAATGTGCTAGTGGACGACTCGTGGCATGCGAAGATCGCGGATTTCGGTACTCTCCGCTTTTCAGAAATCGTGTCATCAGCTGCGCAACTTCAGGCTTCTCAGATAAACACAAGGAGCTCATCGAAAGTACCGTTAGTAGAAATGACAGGTCTTGTGGGTACTACGCGCTGGATGGCACCGGAGGTCATGCGAGGGGAACGCATTTACACCAGCAAAGTGGATATCTACAGCCTGGCGCTCATCTTGTGGGAGCTCATTGAGGGGAAATTGCCGTTTGAAAATACACGATGGAATCATGAGGTGGAGGACTATGTTTTGAAAGGTGTCCGACCCAACATTCGCTCGGATTTGTGTCCATTGCGGTGGAAATTGCTGATCGTAACGTGCTGGCAAGCAGACCCGCGAGAACGTCCCACAATCCAGCAAGTCATCAACAGCTTGCAGCGCATAGGGCGCGAAGAAGTGTGGGACCCTACCGGTCCTCGTTTTACAGGTGTCAGTCAGCTGGGTACCTCGATGTCCTCTTCAATTTCGCACTCGATATACTCATCTCACTCGGACTCAATGAATGCGACTGGACCAGTTGGCGGTTTTGACCGACGCAACTACCCCGCTGCGCTCGACGAGAACCATGCAAGTGAACCTGATTTGGATGGTGGGAGTTTTGCGGGCGAGTTTTCTTACGTGCCAACACTCGATTCGCTCGTCTCTCCAGCCATACTCGGTGCTTCTGACGACGGTAGCTCCAAGAGTACCAAGGCATTGCAGTCTCGATCGCGTCTCGGCTCCATGGAGACTTCTGCTAGCAATCGGTGGAGCTTAGTAAGTACAAGTAGCAGCACAGTCAGCATGGGCGCGAACGATAGCGGCTACTACGGTTCAAGTAGCAGTTCGTTCAGCAGTAACGATCCAAGTGCGAGCTCGATCAGCATGGGCACTCTCTGTGGCAGTGCGAGCTCTTCCGTCAGTAACCGATCGTTCGGGGCGTCCCAATCGTCCAAGTTGAAAAAGAAGCGCCCGGAATGGCGACGTCGGACCGACACGATCCAGGAGATGCAGCCCACAGATCTTCTGAATGCGCCCTCTGCACACGTTCGTCGAGTCCTCGCCCGATGGCACTCCGTTTATCGTCAATATTTAACCTTTCCCGCACCACAGGCTCGCAGGTGGATGGAGAAAGGTAGGAGGCAAGTCGCTATTATAATTTTGCCTGAGTGTTTTGTTGCCGTCTCATCTCAGCGTTGTGTATGAGACACGTTTTTATGCTCCCTCTCCTCTTCTTGTACTCTCCTTCATTTGCCGTCAGCCTCGTTTGCGTAGTCGAGCTGCTCGGTCGAGTATGAAAAATCGACACAACTAAAGCCCGAGGGGTCCAGCAAAAGCATCAAAACACACCAAAGTACGAACAGTTGGAAGTCGTCGGACTTCCATTCAGCGATTGGTCAGTCCGTCAGTCGGTCGGTCGGTCATCACTGCAGCTTCAATGTCAAAAAAACCGTTTTCCAGTTAATCCTACAAAAGGTACTGACTTAATTCACCAAACGACACAATGCATCCGTCTCTTCACGTCAGACACCCCGACCGAAGTCGCACGTCCACGAGCGCCATGACCACCGTTCCTAGCGACGTCTGGACGCCCTCCGTCCCCGTGATTATCGCAGCCCACCGCCTGCCCGTCCGTCTCTTCAAATCCCGAGAACAAGACAGCGAGGACACGCTCTGGCAGGTCGAATGGGCTGGCAATCGCATGATCGAGTCGCTGAACACGCTCTCGTGTCACGAACTCCCTTCGGAGCGCGCCAGTATCAAGTTTGTGGGACGAATTCCAGACGTGGACGTTCCTCTGGAAGAGCGTCCGCAGGTGGAACGGCTCCTTCGAGAGCTGAACTGCTTCCCTGTCTATTTGGACGCCCACGAGGCGAAACTGTACTATGAAGACTACTGCAAACAGACACTATGGCCAACGTTCCACAATGTTGTGGATGTCTACAGTCCTGTGGACGTCGTGCTGGAGGTAGACGCCCGGCAGCAGGGGACTCCTGCAACTCAATCATGGAATCCTGGCTGGCAGAAAGTGGCGTGGCAAGCTTATGCCAATGTGAACCAGCAGTTTGCCCACAAAATATGTGAGCTCTATGAACAGGGAGACATTGTCTGGGTGCAGGACTACCACTTGTTGCTGACTCCAAGCTTCATTGTGAGGAAAGTGAGAGCAGCCAATGTCGGACTCTTTTTGCATGTGCCATTCCCGTCGTCGGAGGTGTTTCGTACCTTGTCGATGAGGAGGGAGATCTTGCGAGGTATGCTGAATGCAGATCACATCGGCTTCCACTTGTTTGAGTACGCGCGGCATTTTATGTCGGCGTGTCGACGGATTTTGGGGCTGAGCTACAAACCGATTCTACGGGGGCAGTTGGGGATTGACTATGGCGGTCGACGGGTCGCTGTGACGTGCAGTCATATGGCAATTGATGCACAGCGGATTGAGAAGACTTTGGCGAGCAAAGACGTGCGTGACGCAGTAGTGGCGCTGCGTCAGAAGTACCGCGACAAGAAGGTTTTTGCAGGCTGTGACAATGTCGAACGTCTCAAAGGTATTCCGTCGAAGATTTTGGCTTTTGATGGATTTCTGTCACGATGTCCGGACTTTGTTGGAAAAGCGGTGCTAGTGCAAAAGGGAATCCGTAGACGTGGGCGTGTGACGGATTATCGCCAGAGCAAAAAAGAGATTGAGCTGGCTGTGCGGGCAATTAACGCTAAGTATTGCGACGCCGCTGGGGGTGACGTAGTGGATTATGAAGAAGTAGACGAATTTTCTTGCAAGGACCGTGTAGCTCTATGGCGCGTTGCTGATGTACAAATCACAACCGTGCTGCGGGATGGGCTCAATACGACTCCGTTCGAGTATATTGCCACGCACAAGTACGTCACAAATGATTTTACTTGCGATGCTGTGTTTTTTTAACGTGCAACTACACCCTTCACGTGTGTAGAAACTCGCCTGGTGTTGTGATCACGAGTGAATTTTCCGGTAGCAGTCGCCTCTTGAGCGGCGCACTGACTGTGAACCCATGGGAATTGGACCAGGTGATCGACGCGCTCCGTGACGCCGTGTACATGCCAGTGAACGAGCGTGAGCACCGACGCAATTGTGACTTCCACTTTGTTTCAGCAAACCCTCCACGTCGCTGGGCCAGGTGCGTGCTCACAGATATCATGAATGCACGGAAGAAGGAAGAATCATTTGTTTATATGGGCACGGGCTTTGGTCTGGACTTCCGTTTGATTGAAGTCAGCTCGCAGTTTCGGGTAAGCTGCATGATTTGACTACCGAGGTGGGCTACTACTGTACTAAATTACGTGACGACTCGTTGTTGTGACATTGATGTAGAAACTAACGGATCAGGAAGTTGTACCGGGATATCGCGCAAGTAGAAATCGCGCGGTTTTTTTGGACTATTATCGGACGTTAACTCCGGACGTATCTAAGCTGATAGGTGTGGGATGGCCTGACGTCCCACTAAGCGCTTTGGCTACACTTGAGCAGTTGTGTAAAGATCCTCGCAACACCGTCTTTATCGTTAGTGGATGCGATTGCGATCTCCTGACACAAAAATTTGGTGGGGTACCAGGATTGGGACTCGTTGCCGAGCACGGGTATTTCATCCGACCTGCCGTGCTAGGCAACAATGCCCGTATCGGTCGGCCATGGGATAGACATGGCGACCTTTTGCAAGCGGAGGGAGGCCAGCAGCGGTGGCGCGCGAAGGCAGAAAAGATTATTCAGCTGTACGTTGATCGTACGAACGGTTCTAAATTGGAAATGCGAAGAAGCGCCGTGCTGTTCCGGTACGGCAAGTCCGATTTTGATTTTGGCGTATTGCAAGCAACAGAGCTGAAGGAACATTTAGAGGGTGTTTTTGAGGTGGTGTACATGTCATTTTTTACATGTGGGCGACAGCATAGCGAGTGCAGAAGTTAACATTTTTTCTGTTGGCCACGATGAACACAGGGCTGGCCATTGAATGTCATCCAAGGCAAAGATTACATCGAAGTGCGACCGAAGGGTCTTGGCAAAGGGGAAATCGTCAAGCACTTGCTGAAAAAGATGCGCGTGGACGGAAATCCAGCCGACTTTGTTTTGTGCATCGGCGATGATGTGGCGGACGAGCTTATGTTCGATGAGGTTGCGAAGATGGTCATACGTGATGAGCTACCGAGAGGTAAAGTTTGATGTTGAAGCAACAATTTGACCCCGTCCGATTCTAAGAAATGATCTGTAGACAAGGTGTTCACATGCACGGTAGGACAGAAGCCCTCCAGAGCTGAATTCTTTATTGACGACTACACCGACGTTATCGCGCTTCTGAAGTCACTACAAGTCGTTGCTACAAAGGTAAGAGACAGCTTTAAAGCGCCTCGTTGAAGTCTAACATGTTTTGTAATGCACGCTTGAACAGTCCAACCGTTACTACTCCTTATCGGATATGCAATCCTTTGTTCGGAATCCACGTCCATATTTTCCGTCACCATCGCACGGTGTTCCACCGAGTGCGACAGCAGATTCAGTCTTGCGGAAATCATCAAGTCGCATTGGGCTCCACAATCATCTGTACGTGACTCCAATTTTGGTCTGAATTTGAGGGTTGGAATCTAATCGTGGATGATGTTCAGGACGCCTGTTATCGAAGACCAAGTTGTGTCCACCGACGTTATTAGACAAAGCAAAGATCGAGCAGACCCTTTGTTTCGCCGTCAGAAGTGGAACAACTGGCTGAAGCGTCTGCAACGACTTGGCGTGATTGCCGTGATTGTTGGCATTCTTCGGTGGCGCAGCACAATGAAAAACGTTCACGAAAAGAAGCTACTGACATACTTCATGGCTACACTTGGGATTGCGTGGTCTATCCAGCGATTAAAACCACGCAATTGATCCGACAGCAGTTGCAGCAACTGTACCGGGCGGGCAAGTGACAAATATTGGGAACAGATATGGTATGTAAGCAGGACCTTGATCAAAATGTGAAGCACTGGAGACCATGGTGTCATCCATTGGACCTAATTTATACTCTTCGTCGACGAGCCGGTACTTTTTCACTCAAGTCATGGCGTGAGCTCGCTATTTCCAGATAATGTTGCCAGCTACTGCTGACTACAATGAGGCAGTACCCAACAGGATCAAGCCATCGGAGCGAATTTAACAAATTGGCGAGGATGCCAACTATCCATTAACTTATCTCAAGCCGCAAGCAGGCAGCGATAACGATGTAGCATGGCTACATACTTCGGTCACAAATTTTCCGTCGGACATTTTATTTGGCATCGCCCGCTGGGTAACACTCGCATCAATTGCGAGCGGCCCCCTCTTACTTGATGTCCTCACACCACTCCAACAATATCAGCTGTCACGAGTCATTCAGTCTCACAGGAAATCGGATCCTACGAGTCTCTCTCCTCTCACAATCCATTCATTCCTCCATTGTCGCGATCATCACCAAAGCCAAAGACGCAAATTATGGGGCGACGCGAAGACGAGGGCGAGTCCAGTCGTCGCCACGGACGCCGCCAGTCGTCCCCTAGCCCCGCACGTGGCGCCGACAACGAAGCAGCGATCCGCACCAAGCTGCACGAGTCTGGATGGAAGAAACGACGACCGGAGAGCGAGAGTCGAGTCGATGGCGAGCCAACCAAGGACAAGGACAAGGCGTTTCTAAAGGAGACGAGCGCTTCACGAGGCGCAGACGAGTACCGCAGCTCCCGCGCGTCCAGTCGCAGGTCCAGGCACTCGCACTCGCCGCGTCGACGTGACCGCGAGCCCCATCTGTCGCGCAAAAAAGCGTCCGGGAGTCGCCGTCGCTCGCCGTCCCGCTCTCGTTCGCCAGCGTCTGTTTCCCGCTCCCGCTCTCGGTCCACGACGCGGCGCCGACGACGTCACGTGTCGTCGTCGGGGAGGAAGCGGCGGTCGTCACGCTCGATGTCCAGAGGAAGAGACAGGAGGCGGTCGAGACGTGCAACGTCGCGGTCGCCCTCGACGCTGTCGGCGTCCAAGCGGAAGACGTCGCTGACGGTGCCGAGTGAGGAGGGAGAGAAGCTGGAAGAGGACGAGGTGAAGCAGAAGAAGAAAATGAAGGAGGAGATGGAGATGGATGAGGAGGTTCAAGAGGAGGAGACGGAAGATGATGGACAAGAGCTCGGCAAGAAACAGGGGATCGCAGAAGAGGAGGAAGAGGGGGAAAAGGACGATCGGCGGCACCATCGGCCGGTGTTGTCGTCGAGAAAAAGCAGTCGACGGTCGCGATCGGGATCGCCACGATCGCCGTCGAGATCCTCTCGCCGTCGTCGTCATCGACGCAACTCGTCGCACTCACGCTCGCGGTCGCCACCACGTGGTGGTCGGGCTCGACGTGGCGGGTCTCGTTCTCATTCGCCACCAAGAGAGCGGCGTCCGCGCGGACACCGTGATCGGGACCATCGTAGCCGCCGCAGAGGACGAAGCTACAGTCGTAGCCGCAGCGCGAGCTATAGTCGTCGTCATCGACCGTCTAGACGCTCTAGTTCGCGTGATAAACGACGTCGAGAGGCCAATAGCTCGCCAGAAGCGCATCAACATCCGCCTGCTACCATAGATGCTGCTCCTGCTGCCGCGGTTGGGATTGCGGTTGGGACGGTTCCGCCTACTCCAGGCACAGGTGTGAATCCAACGATTACGCAACTCATGGCGCAGTATCCAACGATGAGTCTTCAGGACATCATTGCCAAGATGCAGGCATCAAATGTGACGATGGCTGCTGCAGTGGCCCAAAAACCGGCACGTGAGCTGTATGTAGGCAACTTGCCTCCTAACGTTACGGGTGCACAGCTCCAGGAGTTCTTAAGTACTATCATTCAGCAGGTGGGGCTCACGGTACAGCCTGGAAACCCGATCATCAACACTTGGATCTCTACCGACGGTCATTTTGCATTCTGTGAAATGCGCTCGGTCGAGGAATGCAACTTGGCGCTACTGCTAAACCAGTTGTCGCTTCTTGGGCAGCCACTGAAGTTTGGTCGACCGCGTAGTTTTATGGGTCCGCCTCAACCTATGCCTCAGATTCCGGCCCGTGCCCAGACTGCCCTTACAAATTTGGGATGTACACCGAACCCGGCCTGGTTTGCTCAGCCTTCGATCCCAAGCATGACTGGGATAACTGCGGATATGACAACCCTACCAGGAGCTACCTTGGGTGTAGTTTCCGAGATGCAAGCCGTTGTCGCTGGCTCTACGACGGCTAACAAGAGCTCGCAACAGCTAGTTATGTCCAATATTCCTGTTGTGCTGGCGGAGAACCTAGTGAAGGAGCTCGTGGAGCCGTTTGGAGCGCTAAAGAGCTTTACACTGGTCAAGGACGCTGCAACGGGTGCCTCCACGGGCAGCGCTGTATTTGAGTACGAGGATGAAAACGTCGCTGCGCAAGCGGTGAAAGGCTTGAATGGACTAAGCATCGGTGGTATCCCTCTGTCTGTTCAACACCAGTGTCCCAGTAATGGAGTGGCACTTGGATCGTTACCGAGTTTGGTCACAAATCCAGAGGACCAGCCCGGTCCTGTTCTCAAGATGGTACGGTTTCACTACTTGATCCGTGTAGTTGGCGTGAAGTGTGCCTAACGTTTGTTGTGTTTCGTTTGTTACAGTTAAACATGGTCTCAGTGGAAGAGCTGAGAGACGACGAAGAGTATGCAGATCTAGCTGAAGATGTAGAGGAAGAGTGCAAGCGCTTTGGAAGTGTTGCAGGCTTGGAGATTCCGCGTCCTAAGGTCGGTAAAGGGCTGTGGTTTGCTAAAGCAACTTCGTTACTCATGACGTCTATGTTGTAGGATGGGGAAGATGTCGCCGGCTTGGGCTCGATTTACGTTCGCTTCGGAAAGGAGGAAGATGCGGTTTCCGCTTTGAAGGTGCAGACAGGGCCGTAGAATTGCGTTGTGTATGTCCATGCTTTGTTCTCACTCGTGTTCTTCTTCTATTCATGTGACCTCAGGCTTTGAACGGACGCAAGTTCGGTGGCAATATTGTGAAAGTCACCTACTTTCCGGTGGACAAGTTTGAGAAGCATGCCTTCTCCTGAACGCTTAAATAGCTGACGATTTCACCCGTTGAGAAGTGGCTAAGTCTTTATCTCTTTTTATTTCTGCTATTCGCGCACCAATTAGTTGCGGTGTCGGACTACAATGGATGGACGAGTTGAGCTGCTATGAGCATGCAGCAGGTTTGTACGGTGGACGGCTCACGACGTTTGCGCGCGGTGGTTTAGCTAACTGAAACGTGCTGCCACAATGTGTAGATTGAATCCAATGAATTGGTCTCCCTATGTTGTATGTTGCCATTTCGTCTTCCTGTTTTGCTGATTTGCTACTGTGCTCGTGTAGCAGCTGGCAACTGAAGCAACAAATCACAAACAGAGTAATAGCCTACCATCAACAAGGGGCTTGCTTTGTCTCCACATTATCCTGCTGCTGAACAGTTGGAGGCACTGCACACAAGATTGTGCTAATGGACAAGTGAAGAATCAAGTAATTCGAATGATTGAGTCGGCCAGGTATGATGGAATGCACATGAATTTGCTACACACGTGGATTTGCTGGCATGAGCCGCTGTAGATGGTACAAGGGGCAATCTGCCTATGCTTTCTTGACTGGACAGCTTTAACGTTGCTGGGATGGTGCATTACAAACACGCCTTGACCAATATGATGCTGCTCTCGTGTGGATCAGGCGGAGGGTAACACCTGAATTTGAGATTTGGTCGTAATGTCGGTGTCTGCTTGGTGAATCCGGGAGAAGTTGCCTCATGGATTCTTACCGATTTTCGTCGAGTTCTTGTTGTGGTGCAGAGATAACGGCTGAGTTGTACATGCCTCATCCGAGCAAGCGTCTTCTAAGCAAATCTTGGGATCGTATCCACAGCAGCATGCTGCAGAGTTTTATAAGGTCGAACTAATGGGTCCACCGTCACAGCGGCAATAGCAGCTTTAGACAAAGCACAGAGGCAACTTTTTGTATCATGTTTCGCCATGCAAACGGCTAACATCGTACCGAGCGAAATCAGGTGATGACGTTTGCGGATATTTGCTGGTAGACAATACGTCCATGTATGTATCTCATTTTGTGCTTCGTTCCGATAAACTAGTCAAGACCAGGCATAAGATAGGAGAGCAAGCTCTGGAGCTAGCCCTTTAGTAAAAATAATCCAGCTCATTGGAATGAATCAAATTGCAAAACACTAAACAGCAGCAGTCACTGGAGAAGGAGTATGATGATGTTAATGTCTAAATTAACCCAGAAAAATAATCACGCAACGCGACAGCCTTTGTATGCGAGCGTCCAGTGATTGCTTACGTGATCGTATTCACCTTTGATCGATTTTAAGCCAATCAGGTGCACGCATCACATTATCGACCTAGCCATAGTGACACCTATCATGCTGAACGGATTATGAGGGAGAGAGGCTAGATTGTATTTAGTACGAATAAGGTACACCTAACCGCGTTATTTGCAAACACACACAAAGACACAAACAAAGACACACACAGATAAGTACGATATAAAGTTCGGCATTCAACCTTGCGCACACTGACTAATAGCTTCACCCTTCGGGCTAGAAATAATTACAGTATTTGGTCATGTACATGCTGGAAACCATTTCACGGGGTGCTATTTGCCTTTTATTTGTTGTAAATGACGATTTCGATTCGGTCGACCGGCGCGCTTTCTCAAAATTTAGCTTTGGTACAGTTATGTTTAGCTTCTTAAGCGTGTTATGTACGATTTCTTCTTTGGTTGACTCGTCAAAATTATCTAAAATGTGAGTCTCTAGCTATGTTATCACCAAGTCCATTCACTTAATGAAGAGGCGCTGGAGAGACTCGATAAGGGCACCTTTCTGTATTGTTCTAATTTTTGCACTTCCTTGGTCAAACAAGCCATCACCACGCCTTGTCATTTACGCCGGCACTGTGCCTCTCAAATCGAATGTAGACTTCATTACAATCAAGCCGCCGCTCACAAAGTTCTGAAAAAGCCGCAGGTATACTTCTCATCAACGCATGATTCCGTTGAGTTTTGCTAAGTACACACCTGCATTTGTGACAGTACGAGACACAAATTCGATCCAGCTGTAAATCTAGCCAGAAGTTGATCAAGGCTTTGCTAGCTGAGTGTCGCCTTCCCTTACTCGTAAGTACATGTTCCGTTAATTAGTACATGTAAAAGTGCCGTCCACCAGTTTATGCTCCATTCCGTAGACGTTTTTACAGTGTCACACGAGCCACCACTTGGCAATAGATGGATGGTTGACCCTGATATGTAGGATCCGGATAAGCTCCTGCCATCGTCTGCGTCGTAAAGCACAAATGCCCGTCCTCTCCTTCTTTCCTTTTTGACACGCAGCGTGACGTATTTATCCTTGCCACAGATATTGCTCTTCTGCTGTCTCGCGATTTTCTGCACTGCGCAGGCTTTGTAAAATGGATTTAGCTCGCAAGCTCTCTCGCCTGAGCACATCAATATACTCTACCACTGCCCCGATTGCAATCAATGCTTAAATTTGCGATATCCTCCAGCTCGGTACCTGTTTTGTTGCACATAAAGACTTCACGCATGAGGATGGTAGATCAAGATACACCCAAGTGATGCTTGGCCTTGTAAAGCCGCAGTCTGCATGTGCTACTCTAGGCCGCAAAGGATGGCGTCGTTTAGTCGATGTGTTAATTTTAAATTGATCGGGGTTGTTGCATACCGTTCATACCGCTATTGTCACACGTGTTTTTCCGTTCCCAGTCTTTATTGCGAACAAAAGTTGGTCAGTCTGAACTTCGATGGTATCGAAACCACAACTAAAACCTCATACTTCAACTTATTCCACAATTACTATTGCATACCTGTAAAACACAACGATATGTTCTTTGTCCGTAACACTTTCATTACGCGAGTATGCGCAGCTTCCTGTCCTCGCTAAACAATCAAGGCTTACCCGCTAGAACTTAAATGTATCTTGTGTGCGCCAAGTTGGGGTCAATTTGTCAGGTTGATTTTAACAAAGGCTCGGAAGTCGTCTAAGAATATTCCGCGCGCCGCCCGCAAATGTCTAACAGCACTGTTTCGATATAGTTGCAAACTTTTCACTGTATATCCATTGAAAACTTGTAAAAATTACTTAATAGTAAATACTTCTTCGCAATAGGAATCCTTCAAAACCATTTTTAGGTTATATTCTGGCGGAATAAAAAAAACTTACCAACTAAAGTTTTCTCGACAAGTTGAGACTATAAACAAATAAGCATTGAAAGTGGAAAATAAAAAATGAACAACACGTAAAAAAATTCAAAAATATTGCAAGAGAAGAAATAATTGATTATACCACAAGATGACAAACATGTAAATCCTGGACATAGACCAACACATACTGTACGCATGGCATGTTAAATTAACAGGTTCCAAGGGTGGCCCCAAGACAAAAAGTTGATTGTTTGTGTATTGTTTACTGATAGAGAGATTTATGCCGCGCGGTCCTTCAGATCACCCTGGGGTGAACTGCGAGTACTCTGACTTAGTTTGAACTCCTTACAGGACCCGCACCCCTCATTACACTGTGGGGCTTTTCGGCTTGTAGGGCATCCGGACGTCACCGGCCACCCATTGGTGGTTGCTCGTCTACATTATTAGCCTATCTCCGGCGCCCTGTAATCGAACCCCCACCGGGTATCGATCCAGGTACCTCCCGGTCCCAGTTCCAGTGGTCTATCACACGGCCACTGGGGTCGGAATTGTTTACTGATAGAACAAGCACACTAAAGTATGAACCTCGTTTTTATTACTTACAAGGCAATCTAAGCAGTTATCTCAGATGGGAACGCTTCGTGACGCAATTAATTATTTGAACTGCTAAAAATAGTAAGAATAGTCCAACAGAGTTAAAAAAAATTACAAAATAAATTCGGCTTTTATCGAATGAGTTGCTTGTATATTTACATAACGGCATCATTGCACTTGTGTACAAAAGCTGCAGCTTTTTCCTAGTGATCCCTGATTTCAATATATACTTCCTCCTGTGATACTGCCTCAATTGACCTATCACGTCGCAAAAGAAATAGCATGGATGCATTTAGGTGGGAGATGAGCAGATTATTAAAATGATGCCATCATCAACAACCAAATAACAGGGCACAAAAGTCACGCAACATTGAGCTAGTAATGGTTACAAATTACAAAAATCTTCATGGAAAAAGTTGCTGCTGACCCGATTAACCTTTTTTAAATTGTGCACCATCACTGCAGCGGAGCTACTTAGAGCTCCTTGATAGAAGAAGTCTTAGACTCAAATTGTCTCTTGGTCATAACAAATTATCAACGACGTACAGTCATTCAAGATTACAAACTTAACAATTTCGGTTCCAAACGGATTAAGTTTCACAAAAGCACACACTGACTAGAGACTACTAGTTAAACAAGAGTAAGCGCCTTTACAAGGCTGATGCTCTTAACAACACATTACGCCGTCACGCGGCACTCGGCTTTACTCAATAATTATCTGTATAGAGGTACTGAAAAAAAGAAAATATGCACATTGACGAATAAAAAGCAAGTGCACTAAAACACAAATCTTGATTATGTTTCTGATACGATGACTCCTCAGGTTCAGCTGACACCCTGTCGATTTCCACTAAACATCATGTTGGACAGTCTGGTACCCCCTAATCGGATACGAATACGTCCTCTTGACATTTTTGTAAGCTCACTTCACAGCTGCGTGCACACTTATGCGGCTTTGACATTAATTGAAGCCTATTTTAATGGTTTCGAGACTACTTTATAGGACCTTTGTGATGTTATCTGACTTATTACATAAATTTAACATAGTTGTGCTACGGCTGCACTTTCTATAAATACGGATGAAGAAGATTGACAACCGATTTTGTAGAAGTATAAGTACGTAGTAATATGCACTACTAAATCCAATCAATTGATACATTAGGGCGAGTCACCATGCAGCAGCCGTCTAGATACCCACGAAAGATCATTTCGATTCGATATCAAGACAATCGCCTCATTTCACCTTTATAGAAAGATACGTCACCATGCTCAGATTCATAGACCGTGTCGCTCTGTAGGCCTTCGGTGTAATTCACTCTTTAACGCTCGTGTGGCGTCCCACATTTCTTCTCATGTTCAGCACACGGTTAGAACCTTCCTTGTTTAGCGAGCATAGAACAGTGTCAAAGACGTACCACCTATCATATTTTCTAATGCGCAGCGTCAGTGAACACATTCGTTGAGGTTCAGACTGCCTAAAAAACGACACCCTAGCTCGCATAAATTCTTGATCGTCATCTTCATGATCTGGTCGGCGAGCTCCAGAACCACGGGGCTACACCGTTAGATTTACTGTCTAGAAGCGACAGCGCCAACCTCCTTAATCACATGACATTCGTGCTGACTAGTCCAATTTCATCTTTGATGCGTTCGGACAGTTTCTCCCCTCGACCATCTGGTTGTAAAACTAATCAAATCCCAAAAATGGAATTGAATGTATGCCATCGGCTCTATTAAAGCGCTCACTATGTATTGATTATCGTAACAATTTATAGTGCACAATACACGCGTGTTGAAGTGGTCGTGAGAAAATTCGACCAAGCACATTTTTTACCAGGGTTTTACATGGGAACGTCCACGAAGTTATTGGGTCTAATCGCCGAAAATTTTCAACGGTGCGATGAAAAGTTGACGGGTTGTAAATATAAGTTACGGCCACTGGCTGTTTAAATAGGTCAAGATCACTATTAATGACCATTGATCATGTTCATTGACTATGACCAGGCCTCTAGCAAAGAAATGTTGTTCC